ATAATTCCTTTGCATTTATGACTTCTAATTTTGGTCACTCATACACCCCTTCATAATTTTAAAGATCTCTAGTAAGTTACCGAGTGGCTTTAATTTTCTGTTTCTCTTCTGTCTGTTCACTTATGTGTTGCCTTATTTTTGTCGAATATTGAGTGAGCTGAGTAATGGACCAGTTTATACCATCTGGAACGTTTGAGGAGAAATTGGATAAGGCTCATTGTTCCTCACGCCCCTGCGGTGTACAATCATGACACAACTAAGTGTCATGAGCCTGCAATGTTCCCCCACCCACTGGCAGCCCTGTAAATTCCGAGAGGAGCAAGGAAATTTCTTTGGAAATTCCCTGGGGCTGATTCAAAGCTTTAAGAAAAGGTTTTTCATCTCCAGGGGGGTGCAACACAAAGTGAGTTCCTGAAAATCATGATGATGGCAAGGCAGGTTGTTCCTCGGACAAATCTGGTGAGGAATTCAGAAGGTCAAACGCAGAATGCAGGACATGCAACCAGAAGGAGGGATTTGAGTTGAATAGGAAGGGGAAGCCAGATAAGCACCCGAGGGAGAAAGCAATTACAGCTTCTGTTGATGGGCTCCGATGATGTAAGGTTGGAGGAAACGGGTGTGGAGCAAAAACCGTGGGTTTGGACCAATCAGATTGAATGCACAGCTCAGAAATAGGCCATTCTTATGATAGCAGCTGGATTCACTCCCAAAGTACAATCAACCAACTGAAGAAATGTTACAGAAAGTGCAGGAGAAACTCAACAGGTCTGGCAGCATCTGTGAAAATAGAAACAGTTAATGCGTCTTGTTGATGAGCTCAGTTTCTGCTTAAATTAGTTTGCGACCCATCTCTCATCTTGATCGTCATTCTCACTCTCAACACTTCTTAAATAAAATGTCAAAATCTGCTTTCAGGTTTTGGTGGCCCTGCAAGCTTGGCTGTTTCTCTTGCTCATCTCTGGATGTTCCAGATACAATTTCAGTGAGTTCTGAAGAAGGATCACTGGGCCTGAAACGTTAACTCTGTTTCCTCTCCACAGTTGCTGCCAGATCTGCTGAATTTCTCCAGAAATTTCTGTGTTTGTTTACAATTTCTGTGGGTTATGAGGGCACCACATAGGACACCAAGAATTGGCGATGGCTTAGTGGTATTATCACTGCACTGTTAATCCAGAGACCCAGATAATGTTCCGGGGAGCCAGGTTCAAATCCTGCCATGGTAGATGATGGAATTTGAATTCAATAAATATCTGGAATTAAGAGTCTAATGATGACCATGAATCCATTGTCGATTTTTGGGGAAAAAACACATCTGGTTCATGAATATTCTTCAGAAAGGAAACTGCCATCCTTACCTGGTCTGGCCTACATGTGACTGCAGACCCACAGTAATGTGTGGTTGACTGTTAACTGCCCTCTGGGCAATTCGGGATGGGCAATAAATGCTGCCTAGCCAGTGATGCCCTCACCCTGTGAATGAATTTAAAAAAAATTGCAGTTAGGCGACACGAGGTTAAATTGGCCAGTTCCTTGAAGTAACAATAAAAACCAAAAGAACTGCAGATGCTGTAAATCAGGAACAAAAACAAAGTTGCTGGAAAAGCTCAGCAGGTCTGGCAGCATCTGTGGAGGAGAAAACAGAGTTAACGTTTC